TTTGTATATTGCAAACTGAAAACTCCCGCAATAACCCTAAATCAAGTGGGAAAAATATAAGGAGAAACCAAATGGCATATATCCGCACTTGTATTTATATTGTCTCGTTAAAAACCTTATATCAGAAACATCATGGAAAACTCATAAAGAGAAGGAGTACAATATGAATGATCTGAAGATCACCAACATGTTATAACTTGGGATTTTTACTCCCCTTGAACTTTGCAAACATCAATGTTGTCTCATACCAATTCCACAAACCTGATTCTGGAATATAAACGTTGGTACAGACATTGCGAATATCACAATAATTTGTTTGCAGATTACACTCCTACATTTCTGTAATTAGCGAGAATAAATATAACCCGTAAGCAATACAAGTGAATTGATATTTCAATGAATCTCCACATGATTTCACATGTAGGCAGTCATTCTGCGAAGCCATACACATCTTGTAATGCTTCGAATAAAATAATTACAGCAGAATGATCTCTCGAAGGACCCATTTGAAGTCTATTCTGAAGGCTCCCCTCAGAATACTCTTCCAGTAAATCCAGTCTTTGATATGACACCGTTGGGATCAGGTTATTATCCACTATCACGATGTCACACCATGGTGCCATCTTGATTTTCAAGATCAAATTAATCAAGACCTTTTGTGTCTTGGACATATCTGAGGATATACCTTAAATCAACCATTATACCTTTACTAGGGATTGCACTCTCAATATATTGCAACAAATATAATGTCAGGCCTGGCTTATTTTGCAAGATACATGAGTGCTCTGATGGTATTAAGATATGGAACTTCAGGTCCACTATCACTTCACCATCTCCCCTGGGTCTAAATGGGCTTGTATCCCATGTCAGGTATAATATGACCACATGTGTCTTTGATATATCCAATATTTATAGATATATGAAGAATGATATACATTTATTCCCGAGGGAATATGCTCAACTATAAACTTAGCATCATTTGGTTTGACCCAAATATCGTTTTAAAATAATTGTAAGTATCTCATATGTCTGGTATAGACATTGATGATAAGATCATCCACATCACCAAGATGATGTAAATCCAATTCATGATATCTTCATGAATACACATCAACAATCATTAGTACTAGAGTAATCCTTATCAAGGAGTAGCTCACTTAGTCGGTTGTACCACACAACTCTCTGACCTCTTCTGAGTCATAGAATGACTTCTGAAGCTTCACACAAACATGTTGCAATTTATCATTGGATTCATAATATTAAGCCCTTTCCATGAATTCAATATGTATATCTGAACTTAATGATCTATGCCAGTATGTAGCCACTACATACATCAGCCGCATGTATTTATACTGCCAATTAGTATCAAAACATAATTCCGCTCATACCGAGAAGGTATGCTGCATCATAACCGATGTTGGGTCTCTGTGAAAACCCTTGTGCTACAAGCCTCGCTTTCTCACTACCTCATCTATTTTCATTTCCAAATGAAAAATCATTTCTCTTCTCTATGGAAGATACTTATGAGGAGCAGGTTTTACTATCATAAACACCTCTTTTTTGATGAGCGGGTGCTAATCTTCCTAAATTGCTTTCTTTCATTTGAACCAATATAAGTGTAAACAACACTCTCCATGGATTTTGGTTCAGGGCCAAAAAGGATTTCAATAATTCTCAAGAAGAATTTTATGTCAATATATGTAGACTTTTCATACGTGATTCTCATGAATCGACATCATTTGTGGAATTCTCGTTACACCAATTAACTCCTTGTGTTTTCCCATAACAACGGAGTCAAGGTGTTTCGATGTCCCATCACCAAAAAAATGTGTGGACATATGTGTTGGGCTCTGGATGACGCGCACCCATCTTGTGTCATTAAACCTAGGTTGAATCACATTTACTAACGAAGGAGACCATTTTCTCTATTTCTGCAGAAACATATGAGAACTTAATCTCATGTGACCAGAATTCTCCCCCTCTTGTTCCCATCTGGGGATACGAGTAGTTATTAGGTACCCACTCATTCTGGTACTAGACTTCAGTGTCACCTTTGCCATAAGTAAATGTATATGGCAGATTATTTGCAATATGTTGAAACTTTCACATAACCTGAACCTCTAGTTTAGATTCTTAAGTATGTGGAATGTCTACGGCATATCTTATGCATCCCATGGCATTCTATGTGGTACATTTCTCCCCCTAATGCTAGAAAATGTCCTTATTGCAAAAGCAATCAGCGCACGAGCTGCAAATAACTCCCTCACTAGGGTTAAGGTATGTGACGGATTAACAATCATACAACAGTTATTACTCACATACATCCCAAATATATGTGAAGGCCCTTGATGTACACTGGGTGGTGATATCGGTACGCAACCGAATTACTGCAGATGGGAAATACTTCACTTATTTCCATGTACAAACTACAAGGGTATGCAGTATATGCGTTTGATCCCATTTAGACTAAATATGCAACGTTTGAGACTACATGTTACAACCAACAAAAGTTTGGCTCATCACAATTCTGCAATAGTGGCTATGCAATTTTGACTCTCTTTGGGAAGAGATCTAGTCACACCATTTTGTTTATGTGCACAATGTACTGAATATGACGATTGAATGCTCGCGAATCAAATTTAATGACATTTCCATTCCAATGGTATTATCCCATGTGTAGGACAATTTTCTCTAAATTCGTCAGTTTGAGCAATTATTTCAGTAACGCGTGGTTTTGTGTGGATGATACACACCTAAGACCATCTTCTAGATGCGTCCATAAATACCATGTAGTGCCAACATAACCTAGACAATGGTTGAGCAATTCACATATATTCTTGAATGTGAAACCGGATCATTTCAAATTTTAAGGTGAGAGTGCCTTAAAACTAACTCCCCTCATGACATGTGTAGTGCACATAAAATCTGGCGATTGTTGGGAACATTGCAACTTTCTTGGGGCCAAAAGAATTATCAATAATTTTTCTAATCATCCTCATACCATACTGATAAAGGAAGAAAAATTATTGTGTACGCAACAATATTGAGTATGAATTGATTCATACACTCAGTTTCTCACAACTATCATGTCCCATGGACAAGATGTTGCAAATTATACTACATGTAGTAGTATAATAATAGGCTAATGATATCTCGGGATAACTAGGAGAGTACAGAGATCTCCAAAATATCTTGGATATATCATTTTGCAAGCATATCATCAATGTAGAGGAGTTCATTCTCCTTCTGTTGTCCAGAATTATTTCTGGTTGTCCATTTGAAGTATAACTTCAAACTTA